ACAAGTGGCCAATGTCCTATGCAGAGGCAGTCCCCAGACACCATGGGCAGGCAGGTGGGGAGCCATCAGCACCATAACAAGACCCTGCAAATGGCTCCCCTTAGGTCATTAGAGGAACTCAAACCCACCACACACACAAAGGCACACATCCACCCAGCAAGGGCTTCCTATCTCTTCCAGACTCAGCCATCAGTTAGAAATTAATGGGATTTTCAACAACCAAACTCAATACAGGAAGTCAAATTTTAAACATACAAGGTTTTGGGCCTGGCAGCGTGGCCTAGTGGTTAAGTACCTTGCCTTGAATGAGCCAGGATCCCATATGGGAGCTGGATCTAATCCCAGCAGCTCCACTTCCCATCCAGCTCCCTGCTTGTGGTCTGGGAAAGCAGTCAAGGACGACCCAATGCTTTGGGATCCTGCACCCATGTGGGAGACCTGGAAGAGCTTCCTGGCCCCTGGCCTTGGATTGGCATAGCCTCAGCCGTTGTACTCACTTGGAGAGTGAATCATCGGACGGAAGATCTTCCTCTCTATATCTCTTCCTCTCTGTATATGTGACTTTGTAATAAAAATAAAATAAATCTTAAAGATTTATTTTTTTTATTATTTTTTATTGGAAAGGCGGATATACAGAGAGGAGGAGAGACAGAGAGGAAGATCTTCCGTCCGATGATTCACTCCCCAAGTGAGCGCAACGGCCCGATGCTATGCCGGTCCGAAGCCAGGAGCCTCTTCCGGGTCTCCCACGCGGGTGCAGGGTCCCAAAGCTTTTGGGCCGTCCTCGACTGCTTTCCCAGGCCACAGGCAGGGAGCTGGAAGGGAAGCGGGGCTGCCGGGATTAGAACCGGCGCCCATATGGGATCCCGGGCGTGCTAGGCGAGGACTTAACCACTTGCGCCACCGCGCCGGGCCCAAAAATAAGCAGTAATTCTGTTACGGACCTAAGCTTCCCGTCCTGAAAACCAACTGCCCTTGCAAAGGAGACTTCAAAACCAAAGGGGGGCCCGGCGCAGTGGCGCAGTGGTTAAGGTCCTCGCCTTGCACGCCCGGGATCCCATATGGGCGCCGATTCTAATCCCGGCAGCCCCTCTTCCCATCCAGCTCCCCGCTTGTGGTCTGGGAAAGCAGTCGAGGACGGCCCAAAGCTTTGGGACCTGCACCCGCGTGGGAGACCCGGAAGAGGTTCCTGGCTTCGGATCGGCATAGCATCGGCCGTTGCGCTCACTTGGGGAGTGAATCATCGGCCGGAAGGTCTTCCTCTCTGTATATCCGCCTTTCCAATAAAAAAAATAAAATAAATCTTTAGAAAAAAAAAAAAACCAAAGGGAACAGAAGCGCCTCTGTAGGGGCAGCCCTCAGTTCACAGGCCCACCTGCCCCTGCAGCACAGTCAGGGCTGCGGACTCCCGCCTGGGCCCTGGCAGGCCGGCTTCTGCAGCCACTTGGCAGAGCGGAGTCAAGCAGGGGGCCAAAGATTTGGGCCTCTCTTCCTCTTCAATAAATGAATAAAAAAGTGAGACTGAACAAATACTTTGAAAAATAAGAAAAATGCCTTTCTGTGCCTACCTCCCTAGCTACAGGAGGCTTGGTTTTTTAAAAACGTACTTCGTTCCAGAAGCCTGACCATCTGCCGAGGGGGCCATGTGACACTGATAACCTGGCCTCAGGCACACAGGACAAGGCCTCCCAGTTCCGCCCGAGCTTCCGGCCCAGGCCTCGGGCGTCCACTCCACCACTCTTGTAGGTCAGAGGCCACAGCAGAGCCTCACTGGGGAGGGCCTTGGTGCCGCAGGAGGTCCGTGGACATTTACAGGGACAGCATCTCCATGACACACAGAGAGGAAACCCACAACCCAGGAGGGATGGTCCAACAGCAACTACGCCTATCAAAAGTTACTGGTTGTAAACTTTCTGAATGCATAAAACAGAGGAACACGTAAGATGTGCTTTCTCACTTTGAGGAGTCTTCTTCCAGATGGTTCTCCAGCCTTCTACGTGTTGTTTAATTCAGCCCAAAGGCTTCTGCGCAAGGCCTGCCGGCTGATAAGGAGTGCGCCAACAGCCGCTGACGGGGTCAAGGTGCACAACCACTCAGGCCCTCGGCTGTTCTCATGGTTGTTGTTGCTGTTTCCCACGACACAGTTCTGTAGGTAGAGGGAGTGCTCTTCCCCCTCCCCATTTTCCCTTCCTGCCTTTTATTACAGCAGTGTAGTTCTTTCATGACAGTTACAAGTCTAACATTCTGCTATTAAGCGTATCATGACATTGCATCATACGGTCAGGTATGTCATTAGCTTTTCTATTCAAGCCTGTGGTTTAGTCAACTCAGTTTATATTTAGCTCAAAGCAATATAAAGTGACACCTAAGGAAAAGCAAGGAATATCTATGAAAAAAAAGCCATGTTCCACTTTCCTTTAAGTTGTCCAGCATGGCGATGGTTGTTAGATGTATGTATGGAAAAAAGCTCAAAGTAAACAATGGCCTCACCACAACTAATTAAGGGGATTCAAAACACTGCTGAGCTGTGATTAAAGACTGAAATATGCTCAGATTAACAGGACCTTAACATTCTCATCTGCAAATACCACAGGTCCTGCCAGATTTCCTGGACAACAGACCTTCATTTAGTTAGGTATAACACAGCACCTCATGGACGAACTTTGCAAAGGTGCATTAACCTGCCACGGGAGACCACATATTGGACAATTTCCTTTGCAGTGTCCAGAGTGGGCAAACCAGACAGACAGCAGGCTGGCTGCAGATGGCACACAGGAGCGATTGTGGACAGGCACAGAACCTCTTCCAGGGGTGATGACAATGTCTGATATGAGCCCTGTGCAGAAGCCTAGTGGCGAACGTCCTCGCCTTACAAGCACTGGGGTTTCATATGGGCTGCTCCATTTCCCATCCAGCTCCCTGCTTGTGGCCTGGAAATGCAGCTGAGGATGGCCCAAAGCCTTGGGATCCTGTCCCCGTGTGAGGGACCTTGAAGAAGCTCCTGGCTGCTGGCTTTGGATCAGCTCAGCTCCAGCCATTAAGGCCACTCAAGGAGTGAGCCAGTGGATAGAGGATCTTTCTGTCTCTCCCTCTCTGTAAATCTGACTTTCCCATAAAAATAAATAAACCTTAAAAAAAAAAAAAGTCTGAAATTAGAGTAGTGGTGTTTGCACAAACTGGTGAGCATAAAAAAAAAATTCACTGAATTGTGAGAAAACAACTGCATTTAAAAAAAAGCGGCCCAGCAGGTCAAGCTGTCGCCTGTGGCCGGCACCTCACACGAGCACCAGCCCCGGCTGCTCCACTTCTGCTTCTGTGAAAGCAGCAGGACAGCCCAGATCCTTGGGCCCTGTACCCACGTGAGACCTGGAAGAAGCTCCTGGCCGGTGCAGCTGCAGCCATGGAAGGCATCTCTGTCCCTAATTCTGCCTTCCAAACAAACAAACAAAACAAAAAGCAGATCTTAAGAGGACCAGTGGAGGCCTGAGGGCCACGCTATCCACGATGCACACCTTGCTGCAAGCTCCTTCCCCTGGGAAGGTAACGCACAAGCAAAAGAAACCTTAAAAATAATCCAAAAACTTGGGCTTCCAAAAATACGCTCATTCCCACTGAAGTGTTAGCTTTCTATTTTAAACCAAGAGGTGCTAACGCGGCTCGGGGGGCCTGACAACACCACCTGCACGATTATTAGTCCAGTGACTTCAGTGACAAAGGTCGGGGCTTAGGCAGAAGTGTCGCTCCCCAGCCCACTCCGACCTCAGGCACTGTGTCGGCGAGACGCCTGCGAGGGGCACCTCACAGCAGCTAACTGCCTCTCATCAGACCCCAACACGCACAGATGTCGCCTCCCAGCTGACTGCTGGACTTCCCCACTGGTTATCAAGTCCATCATTTTAGGTCACTTCTCAAGATTACCTTCTGGACGTGAGTAGCTGACCACAAACGCCTTAGCCTCACTTTGGTAATAAGAGAGGGAGGCGATTAGCACAAAACCTAGCTGACACGGGCCAGCCCTACGTCGTCCCCACCAGCGCTTACCAGAGAACTGCGCAACACACCGGACGCCGCTAATGCTTTTAAGAAGCGGCCCGGAAAACGCCCAGCGGTGCCAGCTGGGGCAGCCGCTCGCACGGTGCCCTCCCCCTCTCTGCCCTAAGCGGCCCTCTGCATCTACCCCTCCAGCAAGCAATTCCGGAAGCTTCAGCGCAAACTACGCCGCCTTTCAGAATCACTCTAAAACCTGACCCTACGCACACTCCGAGACACCTAGCTGTGTGCCCCCAACGACAGACCCCCGCGCACCGGGCGTGGGGCCGTGGAGCGCGGCCGCGCACCGGCGGAGGGGCCGCACTTCCTGCCGGCGCTGGCACGAGGGAGCCGGGCCAGGACGCCGCCCGCCGCAGCCGCCGCAGCCGCCCCGCAGCCCCGCGGCAGCACAAAGACCGCGCACCGGCGCCCGGAGCCCCCGGCCTGGGCGAACGGCGGCCTCGGCGGGGACAAAAGCGGACACCCGGCCGGCTACTGGTCGGCGGCGAGGCCCGCGCTGGCGGCGGGGTCCGGGGCGTGGGCCGGGGGCGCGGGGCCTGGGGTCGGAGGTCGGGGGTCGAGGTCCGGGGTCTGGGGTCGGGGGCCCGGGGTCGGGGGTCGGGGTCCGGGGCGCGGGGCGCGGCGGCCGTTGGAGCGCGGCCCCTCCCGCCCCTCCCCCCGCCAACTGCGCCATTGCGGCCTAGCGGGCGGCACCCCGCCCCACGGCGCCCGCGGCCCCGGCCCTGCCCGCCCCGGCCCTGCCCGCCCGCCCCGGGCCCTGCCCGCCCGGCCCCGGCCCTGCCCGCCCGCCGCCGCCATCTTCGCCGCCCGCCGCGCCCCCGCCGCGCCGCCATCTTTTGGGGCCGCCATACTTGCCTGGCGGAGAAGATGGCGGCGCCCAGCGCACACATAAAACATGGCCTCCCTTCAAAACAAAAACATCGCGGGGCCGGCGCGCGGCCGGCGCTCACCTGAGGACCACATGGTGACCGAGAACTCGCCCTCCAGGGTCTTGATCTGCACCTGCTTCTGCTCCCATTTCTTGTTGCCCGGGTCGGCGCCGCCGCCGCCCGCCGCGCCGGCCCCGCCGCCCAGGTAACTCTTCTTGCCGCCCTTCTTGCCGCCGCCCTTCTTGACGCGGCCGCCGCCCGACGACGAGCCGCCGCCGCCGCCGCCGCTCTTGCCGGCCGCCGCCACCGTGACCAGCGTCTGCTCGATGTAGTCGTCGTCGCCGCCGGCCGGCGCCGGCACCGGGATCAGGATCTGGTCCTCGAAGCCGTCGTCGGCGCGCAGCCCGTCCGAGTCGTCGCCGCCCACCACCTCCTCGCGCGTCTGCACCAGGATCACCTCCTGGTGGTGGTGCACCTGGCTCGGGTCGTCGGTCACGAGCGGCTGCAGCGCGATCATGGGCGGGTGGTGGTGGTGGTGGTGGTGGTGGTGGTGGTGGTGGCCGGCGTGCCCGGGGCCGCCCCCGCCGCCGCCCCCGCCGCCCCCGCCGCCGTCCTCGTCGTCGTCGTCGTCCTCCTCCTCCTCGCCCACCACCGTGGTCTCGATCGTCTCCACCGGGATGGTCTCCACCTCGATCTCGTGCAGCTCCACGATCTCGGCCGGCATCTCCGAGCCGTCCGTGGCGATGTAGAGGGTGTCGCCCGAGGCCATGGCGCAGCGCTCGGCCGCGGCTGCTCCGCGGCGGGCGGCCCGGCCGGCCGAGGGAGGAAGGCGGCGGGCGGCGGGCGGGGGAAGGGGCGGGCGCGGCGGCGGCGGCGGCGGCGGCGGAGGGCCTGCCCGCCTGCGGAGCCTCGGCGCGCCCCGCGCTCGCGGCCGCGGCTCGTCCCGGTGCCCGCCCGCTCTGGCCGCGCCTCCTCCCGCCCTCCGGGCCCGGCGTGCGCTGCTTCCCCCTGCCTGCCGCACCGACACCAACTCCTGCCACCCGAGCCCAGATCTCGCCGCCGCGGCCGCCGCCGCCACACTCGGCTCGGGCCCGGCCTCGCGAGACTTCCGCGCTGGCCGCGGCCCGCCCCCGCCCGCCTGCCATTGGCCGCCGCGCCTCCGGGCCCCGCCCCGCGGGGCCAATCGGCCGTCCGGGGCCCCGGGCCGCGGCCCCGCCCCCTCGCCCGGACTCCTCCCGGATTGGGGCCGGGGCGGCGGGGGGCGGGGCGGGACTCACGCGCTCCGGCTGGCTCGCGGCGCGTGACGTCAGCGCGGCGCCGTCGCCGCGACGCGTCGCGACGCTCCCCGCCCCCGGCAGAGCCACGGCGGCCGAGGCCTCTTCCCCGGTTTCCGGCCGCTCTCCGCCCGCTGCCGCCGCCGCTTGGGGAGGAGCCGGGGAGCGACCCCGGGGACCGCGGGAGACCCTGGCTGGGCGGCCCGGCCCGGCCCCGCGGTGCAGGCTGCTTGGACCAGCGCATGGCCGCTCCTGCTTTTTGGCGCGGGCTGGCCCCGGGCGAGCGACGGCGGCAGGGGTGAGTGCGGAGGGGCGGCGCCGCGCGCCCGGGGCCCGTTGGCAGGTGGGCGGCGCGGGGCCGGGGCCGCCGTTGGGAGGGTGGCCGTTAGTGTTGGGAAGCGGGGACGGAGCCGTTGGTGCCCGCTGCGCTCCGCGCTCGCCGCTCTCTGGCGTTTTTCCCACCCGGCGTCCGCTCGGGTGCCGCTCCTCTTGGCGTCCCCCCGGCTTTGCATTTGTCTCTCTTGAAACCCCATTGTTAGCTGCCGCTTCCTGCATTATACTTGCAGAAGAGCCTGGGTGGTTCTGTTTGTTTTTGCTTCTGCGGCAAGCCCGATCTTTGTGAACCGGGTGTGTTGCAGACGGTGATCTTGCGCGCCCCAGTCCTTCGGCAGGTGGTGTGAAAGGATAACAAAATAAAACATTTCCTGGCAAGTTCTGTGTCCTTGTGCTTGTTTGGCCCATCTGGCGCGCGCGCGGGTTTGCTGAGCTTGAGCACTCGGCGTTTCCTGGTGCTGGGGAGGCTGAAGTTAAGTTGGACGGCGAGGCAGGCCTTATCCGGGGAAGGGTGTGTTGGAAAGGGCGCTGGAGGGGATTACTGAGAATGTAAGTCTAAGGGGTGAAAAGTTGCAGCGTTTTCTCTTTGAGGTTTAGAACCAGAGATAAATCCGCTTTCAGTGCCTTACCCACGCAGTCAAGTCACTTCTTTCTGGCTTGCCACTTTACAAAACTGCCTAAATAGCTCAGCAATGAAAGCCAGCTGCTTTTAATTCCACTTTCCCCAGTCTAGTAATTGATGGGGGGAGGGGAGGATGGCTTAGGGGAAGTATGGGGGGGTGGCCTTTGGGCAGCCCAGCTGCAAAGGGTAGGGATGCCCATGGGTTGAGGGGTCCCGGCCCCCCCCACGGCTGCCCAGAGCAGCTGGCCCCCCTGGGGGCCAGGTGTTAGGTTTCCTGGGGAGATTCTCGACAGTTTCTGGCTGTTGTGTGGCTCTGGTGCTGTGGTGACTCCCGTGCAGCTGCAGGGCCACAGGTTGCATTCTGTTTGATGCAGAGCAGATGGTGTCTGTCTTGCTTTTTTTTTTTTTTTTTTTGATCCATGCAGCAAAATGAGGTTTTGCACCCTGACGAGCTGTGAGGGATGGTGCTTGGCCATGTCTTACTTTCTCGTGTGTGTTTGAAGAACCCAGCTTCCTGCCAGTTGTGCCTAGCTTTCTTCTAGAAATCACAGTAGGGTGATGCCTGGGGAGGAGGGGTGCCAGACACCTGGATGGAGACCGCAGCCTGACAGAGGTGTGGGCCATCGCCGAGGACTCACGCGCATCCTTCCCTGGCTGCTCTGGACCATCTGTTAAGAGCAGGAACGGGCCCAGGAAGGAAGACAGTGCTGGCCCCTGCTGGCTGTGTTGAGGGCGGGCTTCCTGCTGTTGAAGAGGAATTCACACGAAGTGGTTCCTGGGGCTGCCTCTCACGTCCGGTGCTGCAGTTGGCTTGGAGCAGGAAGCTAGGCTCTGGTTGAGACTTGGCACCTGCAGAGCATATGCCCCATGTCCTCGTGTTGCACAGGTGCCAGCTGCCATGTGGTGGAGGCAGCGATGGGGCGGAAGTGGGAGCCAGACCTCCCTGCCTTTGGTTGGGGGCGGGGGAGTGGAACCTTGTTCCAGTTGAGCCGTTAGGAAAATCAGGGTGGGAATGAAATATGTGTCCATGTAAAGGAGTTACCCCTAGTTTAGATGCATACAAGTCCCACGGGCCACCATAGGGTGTGCTTTCCCAGGTGCGAAGCTTTCAGTGCTACAGGAGCCAAGGACGTTGATTAGCTCCTGCTGCCTTCCCAGCCTCGGCAGCAGCAAGCTGGATGGAAGCGGAGCGGCTGGGAGTCCAGCTGGCGCTGGCCTAGCAAACAACTCAACTGTAGGTATTGGTTGTGGGTTCTTTTCGTCGTGGGCCGTTACAGGGATACAAGGGATGAGTCTCCGTGCAGTGGAATGATGGGTGTATGATAATAGTTTAGATCACAGAATACACCTAAGAGCTGACAGTGTCTAGAATGACATTCCGTATCCTGTGATAGGCCTGTCTGAGACTAGGTGATAGGAATCCTGAAATCTCAGCAACAAATTAGCCTTTGTTTTTCTCTACCCTGCCTGCGGAAGCTGCAGCTGCGGGAACCACGGGAGGAGGGCGCGACCCAACAGAGTGAAGAGCAGACCCTTCTGTGGGAGCCGCACTTGCCCACACTGCACTCCGCAGCAGCGGGCGGAGCCAACTCAGGTGTGTGCATGTGAGCTGGGTTAGTGGACTTGAGAGTGAAGGCTTCCCCTCTGAGGGTGGAAGAGGGGGACAAGCAACTCCGCAGAGGGGCCTGGGTGAGTTGCCCAGCACCTGCAGTGCGAGGCCCGTGGGGGAGGGCACTGTGGACATGGTGAGGTCTGGCTTCACAAGCCTGCAGGCCACGGGGAGCTGGGCCGGGTGCAAACAGCTGGCAGGAATAGCCAGATTCTGGCTGAGGGGTCTTGGGGGGAGGGGAGAACTTGGAGGCAGAGGGTCTGTCCCAGTGGAGCCAGGAGCGTGAATGAGGAATAGAATGTGAGGTGCCCCACAACAGAGGACAGAACAATCAACTCCCCCAGCCATGTGTTGGCAGTGAAAAACTGGGCAAACGCAGACTCTAAGGTGGACTATGTCAATCAGTGGATTCTGCAGCGACATCATCGTGCTCGGGGTGGTGAGATTGGCAGCAATTCATAACTATTGAACTATCAAACCACTTGAATAAGACCCTCGGAGCATGCCTCACGTCGGCTTTATCTCCCCCTTTACCACAGATACGGAAAAAAAGAGAATGTGGAAATAATATTCTTAAATATAAAAAAAAAGATGAATAATGTGAAGTGCCCCGGCCAGCTTTGTAAAGTTTGACTTCCACAGGAAAGCAGGTTAGGTGCTACGTTTGTAAATACCTGAGCCACACCCAGTTATGGGGCTGCTGGTAACGCTGGGGAAAGCCGCAGGTGAACAGATTGGCCCACTGAATCCAGCCAAGCTTTCATCAGCGCCCAGTACTCACTGCAAGTCCCACTTTTTAAAGATGTGTTTGTGTCTATTTGAAAGAGTGACAGAGATCTGCCGATTCACTCCCCAAAAGGCTACAACAGCCCTCGTGTCACGGGTGCCCTGGCAGGAGAAGGTCAGTCCAGGCAGACCCTGCCAGGGCGTTGGCACAGTGAGACTGAGCAGCAGCAGGCACGGGAGGCCCCAGGCTTACTGGGGGTTCTTCGGGACACCCTGTTTTGTGTGTCATGCCTCGCAGGGGACCAGTGTGCAGTTAGAGACCTGGCTCTGGGGAGTGAACCATCAGACACAGATGCGTCTGTCTCAGCTTCCATCCGCTGCTTGATTTCCCTTAATGATCACAATGGCTGGTGCTGGCCAGGCGGAAGACAAGAGAAAGGACCTCTGCCTGGGACTCCCACAGGGCAGCAACGCCCAACTGTGCACCAGCTTCCGTTGCTTCTCCAGTTGCGCTTGCAGGGAGCTGGATTGGAGACTGAGTCTCCTGCACCATGGGGTGGACCGGAGTATCCCTACACTGTTCAGGTAAAATGGCTTTGCCCATGTGGGAGGAAGGCTGCTTTGGGACATGGAAGGCTCATGAAATCATCTGGTTCAGACTTGCCAAAGCAGCCGCAGGCGGGACTCAAAATACTCTAAATCTGCAACAACTAATTTAGTAGTTTGGCATGGCCTTCGGCAGTCGGGGCTTCCCCCGTCTCCCATGTGCCAACTCCCTGCTCTCGCGCCCTGGGTCCCCCTCGCCCCCGGTGTGCCATCTCCCTGCTCGCACGCCCTGGGTCCCCCTCGCCCCCTGGCATGCCAGCTCCCTGCTCGCACGCCCTGGGTCCCCCTCACCCCCTGGCATGCCAGCTCCTTGCTCGCACGCCCTGGGTCCCCCTCGCCCCCCCTGGCATGCCAGCTCCCTGCTCGCACGCCCTGGGTCTGCGCACATTCTGGCGTTTGCTCTGCAGTACTCCCGTCCAGCCTAAGCTGTGCTAACCCTCAGTTGACTCAGGACCTCAGTCTCTGTGGACTTGACCTTGGCACCCCCTAGCTGCCATGTTAGAGTCTGGACCTCCCCAGACCCCCTGTTTCTCACCTTTTCTCCTGCCACACCTTTATTTTACCTGAGGCTTTTAATTTTCTTTTTTTAAGGATTCATTTATTTGAAAGAGCACTGGTGCTGGCGTTGTGGCTCAGCAGGTTAAGCCACCACCTGTGATAGCAGTATCCTGTGTGAGCACTATGTCAAGAAGCTGCTTCACCTCCAACCCAGCTCCCTGCACATGTTGGGAAGCGGGACATGAACTGGCACTTATGGGATCTTGGTGCATGCAAAGCATGGAGTTCGCCACTTGCACAACTTTCTAGTCTTTTTTTGAAAGTCCGATGTACAGAGAAAGATCTTCCATCCACTGATTCACTCCCCACA